CATCCTCACCGAGTCGGTTGGTAAACCCTTCTTGAACCGGGGAGGATGAACCCTGAGTTTTTGATTACCGATCCATATCTGGTCCAACTGCCTCTCCAAACTCTTTTCATCTTTTACATCCAAGAATCGGACAAAACCGAACCTGCTCCCTTCCTTGGTCTTCCTTAGTGGGCTGTAAACCTCATAAACTCGTCCAAACTTGATGAAAGTTCTCCACATTTGTTCATAGCTCCAGTCGTTTGGAAAGTTCGTGAAGAAGAAAACCGTTGCTTGGATATACAACACACGATCGTACCCACCTCCGTCCCTTCCTCTGTTCTGCATGCGCTTGATGCTCTGACCTCTGCTCTGTGCTCGCCGTCGCTGCCGTTCTCTCCATCTGCTGCCTGGCTCTCGTGTTCTTCCTCTCTCTCTCATTTTTTTCTACTCTTAAATAATCTTATTTCTAGTGACCCGATTATATGCCTACCATGTCAACTGTATCTAGATTACCACGATGAGACGTAGTAAGCTCATCATGATGAGCATCTTTGGTCTTATATGACCTCTCTGACATGCCAGCCTATTAATAGTCCTTGCCTACTAGAAGTAGTCTTACTGCATCCACGGCTATACTGCTAATCTTTGCCCTGGATCCATCAGCCTTCTCTGAGCTCAAGCTCCTTTGCCAATACCAGCTCCCAATCCTCCCTTGTCCTATGGTATATATTTGGAGGGAAGGGACACGACTCATGCCAGAATCCTATTGCTAGATTTTGAAAGGCACCCTAAACGAAAGAGTCAAACAAGTGATTGGGGAAGAGGGCAAAGGAGAAAAGTCGGGGCCAGAAGAGGGACAGTGGAGGAAGAGTAGGCAAAGTAGGTAGGAAGAGGTGACGAAAACTGCAGAGATGGAAACTCGAAATTGGCGAGGTTTTGGGCTCCGGATTGGATCCAAAAACCAGTCCAAAAAATACCCGAAGAGAAAAAAATAGTAACAAGAAAAATATGCACGAGCTTAGAGAATATGAAGAAGAAAGTCTATATATGCTTCTTGAATAACGACACTACTCTGTACAAGGTGCCTCATGTATTCTATGATGACTTGGGATTATTCCAGATACACAATAAATGGTATAATACAATTACCTAAAATACAATATGTACACAATGACTGCATTTATTTCTTGATAGGCAGGAACACCATAATCATGAATTTTATTGCAGGGTATTACCGACCCGATACCTAAGGAAAGTCAGTCTCGGAGAATAAAATTAGGGCCTGCAAGAAGCCAGATAAGTGAGATGAATTCAAAGCCTTCTCCTAACTGCTTAATGTGACTACTGTTCTGACCTGAAACCGCTGCATAGAGAAGCATTTCTATCCAGACATCCCTAATCATTTCCCATTTATTTGTTGAATGCTTTAAAAGTGTGGCTAGTTTGGACACTTCTCCCTGCAGCTGCCCAAATATTCTATCACTGGCATCGCTGTTGGGAAAAAATAAATAAATTTTTAGAACGAAATAAAACTTTTTTAATTCTAGTTTGATAATTATGCGAATATTAAAAATTAAAAACATCAAACCTGGATTGAGGCTTCTCTACGTCATCAGCCTTACCAGGAACTGATTTGCAATCTGAATCCGATCCTTTCTTGCTGCAAAATGGAGAAAAAAAATGAATTTTAGAAGAAAAATACATAAGTTCTAATTTTATAATTCTATGAAAATAAGAAATTAAAAACATCAGACCTGGATTCAATGATCTCATTATCTGGAGCTAATTTAGAAGCAGCAATTGTTATATCAGTTACAGAAGACAATAGTTCTTTGAGCTTGTCATAAGTATGATCAAGCCAAAAACTCTTGCTGTGCTCAGGCAATAGCAAGGAAGGACGCATGGCCAGCAGATACATCATATAATCTGATAAATATTTACTGAGTCGCCTGGCTTCATCATAAAGATGATCCTTATGTAGGAAGCAAACACTCGTCGCAAGATGCCATACTATTATGCTGTGATCAAAGTCCAATTCAATGCTCCATTTTATTTTAGCAAATTGTCGGTATTGCTGCAGTGCCTTTTCTCCTCTCGACGGCTTCAAGGATTCTTCCAATGTAATTGGAAGAAGGAAGTTCATGTAAATGCCTACATCTTTCAAATTACTTGGAATTTTCACATAGTCAGTGAACCTATTTTTGTACCACATTTTAATAAAATCACTGTCATTAGCAATCTTTCGTAGAATGCTTGTTTGCTTGTCATGCAAACAATATTTTAATAAATCAAATTGACCCATATCATTTGACCACCTTCCAGTTCGACGCAATAAGCAAGGGAAGCGCTTTAAGGTGCCCTTAAATATTTTGCGTACCAACGCATTATGATGAAATTCAGCAACAAGAATTGCCCAATCAGAAGAAAGCATTATCCATGCTGCATAAAGTTCCAATGCAATAGCTCCACTCAATAAAATGCCAGTAATGGCAATATCAATGCTTGAGAAATGCAATTTTGACTCATTAATGATGGCAATAAGGAAGAGCAGTAGAACCGAGAATGAGCTAGCGAAACCGGTGAGGTGCAACAAGCATCCTAACTTTGTGTAAATCAAAGCAGCTTTGGTGTAATTAACATCATACATAAATCCCAGTTCAATAGACAATTGTTTGAAGAAAGTATCCGCCCCTCCGACCCTTTTTGGATGAAAGTATTTACTTGCAACTTCCATAGGATTTTGACCATCTACACCTGTACTTTCCTTGATATAAGTGCTCACCCTTGTTTTAAGGTCGGAAAAATTTTCAAAGGGGAGGTAATCATTGACATCTGGTCTCTTAATTGTAAAATGTAGGTATCCAAGGAACACATCTGGGTTTTCATCTAGAAGGCTATGAGGGGCTGAAGACTCATTAGCTTGAGAATCGCTAGAATGAAAGATATTAGAAATGATTGGTTTTATTTTCTTTGAATGATTCCACTTTAGACACAGCACCTTCTCTACATATTTAATAATTCCCGCTAAGATGAGAGGGAGACTCAAAAACGAGAGCCAAGAAAACTTCCACGACAAACAAATGACATAAATGACCAAAATGGCTTTGACAACAAGGACGAGGAAGTGCCTAATCCAAAACTGGTTGTCTTCGAAAGCATAAGCTGTGATGGTGTCAGGGCCACCAAGATGTAGCAAGAGTAAGGGAGCCCAATTTGCTCTTAAAATGTTGGTGGTGGAAGATACTGAACAGGAACTGGAAAGGTTGCCCAGAGTAACAATGGCAATCCAGTCAGCACTTAAGTAGGCAAACCATAAAATGGTTCTGAAGATAGCATTATTTCTGCATTTCCTACGTCGTCTACCAACGACAGAGAGGATGATTTGTAAGGTTAGACTAGAAAGAGCCATTACCCTCACATCCCATTTCTCCGATATTGCTATCAGCAATGACGAAAATAAACCTGCAATGGAGCTTGACTTCCCACTGTTTATAAATAAAACAAATATAAACAAATAAATTTGTGAAAAAATATATACTTTTCCAATGCAAGAAAAGCAAATTATGTTATGAGAGAAATTGATAAATGTAATGTTGGTGGAGTAAGTAATCCTAGTCATGAATTATCTTATCTTAATTATATATAAAACTATTGTAATAATAATTTTTTAAAATTTTTAAATAAATACTCATTAAATTTTTTTTAAAAAATCATTAATAAATACCCAACAAATTTAAAAGTTTTTTTTAATAAATACACAAAAAAAATTTTAAAAAATAAACTATTAAAGAATAGTTCATATCTAATATATAATATTGCAATCCAACCTTGTTAAAATTTGATTTCTTAATATTTATATTCAGAATTTTTAAAAGTGCTTCATAGAAAGACATGAAGAGAGATTTAGTCTTAATAATGTAAGTAATTGAGAAAAATATAGCATATGAATAGACATAGATAGGAGGTAATTATGGAGGAGATGATAAAAAAATAATAATAATATCAAACAATTTATTAATATAGAGACAGAATAAAGAGAGATGATTGAAATATTCTTAATTACTTGCATGACGAATTATAAGTTAGCCAGTGAACATACCCGTCGGCCATCTCTGATCTTTGGGCAATGAACCAGAAAGCTATTGACTTTTCAACAATTTTTAATATATAGAAAATCCAGAGAACCAAGAAAGAAGAGTGTTTTTGTGTGTTAGAGTTTGATGGGCTCCGAGGACGATGAGATCAATTATATTTATAGATACAAGCCTACTAGAGTATATTTAAGTTATGCATATAATGTGTGTAAATTTCAATTTTTTAAAAAATTAGAATTTTAATTTATATTTAAAAATTAAAATCTCAATTTAAAATTTAAATATTTATTTTATTAAATATTGATACTTAGATTTATCAAATCCAAATATCAATATTTAATAAAATAAATATTTAAATTTTAAATTGAGTTTTAATCAAATGAAATAACATAATTTAAGGTTAAAACTCTAATTTTTTTAAATCAAGACTAATAATGTACTTTTACTTTAAGTTATTCCTAACTTCCCAGGTTGAGATACCTTATATCATCTTGATAAAATACCTTTAGTTTGTCAATAAAAAATGTTATTCCTAACTTATCACAATAAAGTTAACATCGCTGTTATATATTCTCATTCGTTGCTTCAAAACATAGATGTATACTTAAAGAAAGTAACAAATGCATCCGAGATGATTTTCTAATAAGAAAAGGATAAATATAATTGGCTTGAACTTTAAGTTTTATTTTCAAGATTAGTAGTTTTCTTATTGAATAGTGATACACATGATGAAAATAAGAGACAAAATTTTGAGACCAATGATTATTGAATGAATTGATGCATATAATATTATGAATCTCAATAAAGTAAAAGAATTAATTATTAAATAATATAAAATCTACACTTTAATATTTTAAATTACATTACTTTCATCATATCATTGGTCTTTGGTGACTTGATCTTGTTTATTATTATTCTTTTTTATTTGTGTTTAAATTCTATTAATTCTAAAACTAATTAGGGAAATGTTCTTTTATTTTTTTTTTTCGTTCCTTTGTTTAGGGAATAACACCTTTTTCCCTACCAAGAAGGGGTTGAAATTAAAATTTTTGAGTTAAGCTTAGTTTGGAAGTGCTAGTTTGTAGTTGTAGTTGTAAGGGTTTTTCATCTTTTAATATCAGAAAAATATATAAAATATATTTAATATATAAAAAAAAGTACATATCAATCTTAACTCCAAAAATAAATTGAAGTTTCAAGTTTAAGGCTCTGTTTGGTATAGCGGTTTTGGGGTAGTAGTTAGCAGTTTTACCTAAACTGCTAAATATAGGTGTTTGGTAAATTTATATATTTCGAAACCGCTACAACTAAAGTGTTTGGTAAAATTTTTATTTAGTGGTTTGAGACTAGCGGATAGCGGTTAGCGGTTAGGGTCTAAATCGCTAGCGGATTGAAAAAGTTAGTTTATGTAGCTTTTTATACCAAACCGCTAACGAATTAAAATTTTTTAATTTTATTGACAAATTTATTCATTTTAATTTTTTAGTTTGTGGTTACATTTTTTAATTAATAATTATCTAATAAATTTCAATTTTGTTTTTTACCTTTAATAATATTAAGTGATTATAATATTTTTTTTGTACATTAATTTATAATTAAAAAATATAT